TATAGATTTTGATGTAAAAATAAAATTTGATTAAAATATTATTAAAACATTTAATATTATAATAAATATATGATGTATATACCTATGTCTATTATGAATACAAAATATGAGGCATGAGACATACGTTAGCAACAATTTTATGAATTTACACAATATACAGATACAATAATAGTTTAGGTGTAAACAACTCTATATTTATTTAAATTTATTTTATTAAACAACATAGTGTTTTGTAAAATAATAATCATTATCTATTGATATTCGATGTCAATATAAAGTMTACATAGMTTTTTTTTTTGATTTCTTAGTTAGCTTTTTGATCCAACGGATACAATTTTATCGATGTTTAACCACCACTAAACCAGAAAAGATAGTGAAGTTGAAAATCGTAGCTTTATTTCAACTTCTTATGTATATATTATATGGTACATTTTATATTTTGCACTTATTATTTTAGATTTTCGAATGATATATTAACTTTTAAATTATGAGAAGAGTAAAACAGTTTTACTCTTCTCATAATTTAGTCACTAAAACTTTATTGAATATCAAATTTAAAATTGGTAACTTGTAGAAAAGAGACCTATATAGTACCTACTTTTGAGAGTCAAGAGTAAAATGTATTTCTATACTTCTCAAAATACTCTGAGAAAACAAAGAAAGTTAGGTAAAACATAAATATTTTTTAATCTTTAAGATAATTAAAATTATTAATGGGAATTTGAAACTTTTCGCCACTGTGTATATTATTATTTATTTTACACAAAAATTAAGATCGATTAATTTGAAGCTATTTTTAACATGAATCTATTCATGTAATTCTATACGTTAGTATTGAATTTTAAGTTAATAATAGATTAATAGCTAGTAATGTTAAATAAAATAATACTACAATAGGTACGATTTATTTTTGGTGAAATTAGTATACTAATAAAATAAATAAATTACAATAATAGCAATATTAAATATATTATCAAATATGGGTGAAATTGCTGACAGTCCATTCTCGTTCAGAAGTCAGAATCGGTTTTTGTGTGCAACAATTTATCATTGAATTCAATTTAAGAATTTAACATTTTAACTCATCCATTACAGTGACCTATACTCAATAATGATGAAGTACTCACACCATCTACTGCGTCTGATGCATTTTTTAACTTCTTTTTTACTGGGTCACTGATAAATATAAATTTTTATTTTATTATAGTTAGGTTTAAAATAAATAACTTTTAAATTATTTAGTGAATTTTGAGTGGTATATCGTCTTATGAATGGTCGTTAAAAATGTATTTACATAATAATTTACCGTTACATTTAGCCATATAGATTAGGTACTATATAGTCTATAAGTTTGTTAAAGTTTCAAATAAATATTTAAAAATATTT